TACCAATTGAAGTATTTCAGATAACAGAGGTTACCCTGGATGTATTTTAGGCTATGATAAAATATATCAAATATGTGTGTGTGTGTGTGTGTGTGTGCAGATTTCCCTACTTGAATCCTACATTGTCTACCAGTATATTTTTATTGTGCCAATGATACATCTTTTTTAATCCAAAGTATCACAACTTAATGCATTCAATAAAATCATATATATGTTCTAGAAATTCAAGTAGAAAATTGTACAGTAAGACAAGCTTTTTAAAAAGCCAGTTTCATTATAATTGTTACCTGGATCAGCCAGCAGACTCTAGCTATTGCTTCCAGTTTGGGAAAATAAAATATAGAAGTTTGGGGTATTGTCCACTGAGTATACTTTCTGCTTATACTTTTATAATTCTTTGTGTAGTCATTTATCACCAGGGCCTGACTATAGACCCAACAGTATTTTAAGAGTTTGTCATGTAAAAATCATGAGTGAAAAATGGCAGATATTTAAGAAAATAGTTTAGTTTGATGAAGATGCTATTGTAAATGGATTCAATTCTAAAACATTTGAAGTGATATTTTATTGGAATTATATGCATGAAAAGTTTTACAGTTTTAATGTTGGTTGTATAATCTTATTTTTAACTGAGATCAATTTCTAGTTACATCTTGTTACTGTTAGTTCCTTTGACATTGATTCCAACTCATGGTCCTCTGGGTATTAGTGTGGGAGTGCTCCACAGATTTTCAAGGTTGTGGCCTTTCAGAAACAGACCACCAAGGGTGTCTTAATCTCTCAGGTAGACACAGACTACCTAAAATATTCCTCTGCACCTCTCACTACATAATATAATAAGCAGTCATTTACTGTCCTTCTGAAAGACTGAATCACCCATATATGTATCCATCCTCTCTAGAAAGTGCTAGATTTTATGTTAAATATTTTTTTAACTAAAACAAGACTTTTGTTTTATTTCAGTCTCTACTCCTGAGTGTTTGGCTTTCTAAGGAAAAAGATATTTTGGATAAGCCTCAGTCTGTCTGCTGTCTTCATAAAATGCTCTCCCTCCTGAGCAAAATGAAAGGTAAAATCCTGATGTATAGTTGAGACATCTCAGGAATTTATGCTGTGGCTCTTGGAAACAAAGGTTTGTGTTTGAAGTATCACAGAATCAAATGAGGAGATGATTTCTTTTAATAAGAAATTTTGCACACTGTGCAAAGCATGTGACCTCAGAGATTCTTTTAAGTATTAATACAAAGCTGTTGATAAATTACAAAAATCCTTTCATTTATGAAAATTAAATTTATCATTTGTATCATCAAATAATGTGATTTGGATGGAGCATTTTCTTAACTCACACAAATTGAACAGTATTTGTTTGAATACTACTAATTTTGGGCATCATTAGAACAATTATTACATTCACATAGTTCATTGGATTCACATAACTTTCAGTAGTGACAAAATATTCCAAACAGGGATTAAAAGTTGATTCAGAGAAAAGATGACTAACACATGATAAATAAATGTTCTGAATAAGATTTAGACTTGTTTTCTGGTTTGTTCAGAAGTATACAAATAGGAGATCTAGGTTTCAAACAATGTGTTTAACTTGAAAGTTTAGACAGAAAGAATGAACAAGTTTAGGGCTGTGATTTCACATTTTTCCTCTCCCCCGGCAGTGGCCATTGATGAGGCCTGGGATTCCCAGTCTGTGTCCCCTTGGTGGCAGCAGATGCGCACAGCTTGTATCCAGTCTGAGAACAATGGAGCAGCTCTGTTATCTGCACATGTCGGACATTCTGTAGCTGTTCAGATATCAAACAGCCTGACAGAGAAAAAAGTAAGTGGACAAAAGTACGGTTTTGATCTGTGCCATCCAGCATACGAAGGGAGTACTTTTCCTTAGTGAGGACACATAGTCTCCAGTATGATGGAGCATGTAGAACCTGAAATGTGTGTCCTGCTATATTACTGTTGGGATGTGGGGACTGTGGCACTTACTTTGTTTATGTATACAGTATGTATGCTTGAATTCCACATAGGTTAGGGAACACATACTGAAATGTAAATGCAGAGATCTGGCTACCTCCCAATAGCTTGTGCACAACTAAATACAGCTGTGGAGATTCACTTAACATTATCAGTCTAAATACTCTATAGGCAAAATATACTCGTTAATATTTCTATAATGATGGGAATAGAAGAAATCTCAGGCACAGTTTTTTACAAGTTGAGCAGTTCATTCTGAAGAGATGCCAGTCTCCTGATTGCTACTGGCAGATAAGCCTGCTGCCTCTGCCAAGGGTGGGCCAGAAGACTGTTAGACGTGAGCCTTGGTTGAATGGAGGACATTGTTATTGGTCCCTTTTTAAATGTCTGAGCTCTATCATCATTGGCCCTGAGCCTCCATTCCACCGTATCCACCTGAGTTGTAACCGTTGTGGAATATCATCTATTTGTTGTCTGGCCAAGTGTGCTGAGTATATGGCAGTGTTCAGAATACAGGCTTATTCACATCAGTATTGAATTAGAATCTTTGCCAGCTGTCATCTGTGCATTTTCTGTTAGTTTTCCCAAACAGTTTTGGATGCTGATTCAGAGGGCCTCACGGATTCCTGGGAGGCTCTTTCTCTGGACACTGAATACTGGAAACTCCTGCTGAAACAACTGGAGGATTGCCTCATACTACAGACTCTGCTTCAAAGCACGGTGAACACTCAACCCACCAAAGTGTCATTGCTGCAGACTGAGCCACTGCCGAGGCTGTCTGTCCGAAGATTATTAGAAGGAGGAAAAGGTAACCTGAAGTTTAATTACATATTTGCAACTTTATTTGCAACTTTGTTTTTATTCTGTCGTTTGTGTTTTGTTTATGTGTTTTATATAGAAATTATTAAAAGACTAGGGAAGTGAGAGATGCTCAGATTTTTAAAACTATATACTTACAGTACATAGTACTTACTGTACAGACTTCTGAAAGTCTGACCTGATCGCTTCTCTTCTCAAGACTCCCAATTACTTCCCCTTCCACATAGAATAATCAATGTGTTCAAATACTTTTTTTAGTTTCTGTTTTAATTTCCAGGACCATAAATTTTGAACAGCACATACCATAAACCAGAGTTCTTTAGGGTTATCATCTTTTAGAGATTTTAAGGGGTGTTAAAACATTGAGAACTACTGAACCAAGTATAAATTCTTGACTTACATACTATCACTTTTTTATTTTAAATCTAACCCATTTTTCATCTCTGGATCTGATAGGCTTCCCACTCACCTGTGGCTACAGCCCATCATCCTGCAAGGCCCAGCTTAAATGCTACTTCCTCCAGGAGATTTTCAAGATTTGCTAGCTGCGCATTTTCTCTTCTTCCTCTTACTTTTCATGGGTCTTTTTATCTGTTTTCTGATGTGTTACTTTGTACTGACCTGGAGTCATTTGTGTTCCTGTCCTTCTGTCTTACAGAACCATTTTCACTGACCCTTGTATGCTGTTCTTACCAGCAGCTTGATCAGGCAATTGATAACCCAGATATTTTTGGATTTCTTATTTATGTAACTCATTATCTCATTTTTTTATAATACTTGTGATAATTTTCTAAGTGTATACTTACAGCATTCTATGCTCTTACTAGTGAAAGTTAAAAAAACAATACTATAATATTAGTCTAAACAGTTGCAATTGGAAACTTAATTCTTGAATAAAAATTATTAAACAATTTAGATGCCAGAAAAGGAATTAGATCGAGAAATCATGAGTTTACTGTAAAACATTCTTTTGTGGAAGAGTTTTTGTTCGATATGAAATAGAAGGTGGGTTATGGTTAGAAGAGTTTGAAAGAAACAAGTTTTCATAAATTTCAGAAGATCGAATTTGTTTTACCTAAGACTCATCAAACATTTTTAATGTTTTTAACTTGCATATCTGTTATCACTGAAACATGGTCTCATCACTGTGTTATTGTTGATCAGCTGTGACTAAATTTTGTGCTTAACTGGTCCTTGTAAGGTAGTTAATTGACTATTAAAAGTACTATTACATTGACCTAAAGCAACCTAGACAATTATCATGCTTATCCATCTCTTTCTTTTGAAATTTAAAACATATTGTAAAGTCATTTTAAAGTTATGCTTAGTATTTGGTCCTCTGTCTCATAAAGAATACTTTGAATTCACAAACATGGAAGTTTTATGGTGTATAAACATACACATATATATCCATTTATATTTAACTAATATTTTCTAAGAATATTATACCAATGTTGTTGTTGTTGTTGTTGTTGTTGTTATGTGCCATTGAGTCGCCTGCGACTCATAGCAGCACTAGGTACAACAGCCCTAAACCCTGCTCTATCCTGTGCCATTCTCACTGTCTCCAACACACCTACCCCCTTGACCCCAGTCATTGAATCAATCCACCTTATAGAGGGTCTTCCTCTCCTGCACGGTCCCTCCGCCCTTTCAAGCATGGCATCCCTCTCGAAGGACTGGTCCCTCCTCTAAGCATACCCAGAGTATGTCAGATGAAGCTTCAGAATCCTTGCCTCCAAGGAACAGCCTGGTTTAACTAGAGAGGCTAGGATGAACCTGTTAATTTTCTTAGCAGGCCAGGGTATACTCAATACTTTTCTCCAGCACCACAGCTCAGAGGCATCAATTCTCCTATCCTCTCTTGTTGTTATCCAGCTCTCTGATGCATAGCAAGTGATTGCAAAGACCATGGCCTGTATCAGGCGCACCGATGGGAAAGTCTGCTGTTAGGGACCTCTCCAAAGTACTGAAGAGCAATGGTGTCATTCTGGAGATTATACCAATAGACAGTAAAAGTACTACCTACTCTTATCTACCAAGGAATGCTAGTGACCTATTGGTAAGGAGCTGTGCTGCAATCCCAAAGGCATGCAGTTCAAATACAAAAGCTGTTCCGCGGGGAAAAGACCATCTCCTCCTGTTGATTAAACTGCCTCTAAAAACCATCTGGAGGTTCAGCTATGGATCGGTTCAGATTCAGCTATGGATTGGTTCAGACTTGAGGGTACAAAGCAATACCCTACTCTTTGGAGTTAAGTAGCATGCAGTAACACTGCAGTAAATCATGGTTTGGGGGGCACTTACAGGCTGAGAATGTTAGCTCTCTTAAGGAAATGCAGATCAGTACACTAAATTGACTCAGTTTGGCAAACACTGTTACTGTGTGTTGTAAATTTTCGTCCTTTTTGTCTTCAAACTGTAGGTGGCTTTGCAGACAGTGTAGCCAAGTGGATATTTAAACAAGACTTCAACCCTGAAGTATTGAATCTGGCTAACAAAGAAAGTGATGTGGAAAACCCTGATGAACCCAAAGAGGCTATTCACAGAGATTTCCTTGAAGTGTCAGAGGTAGACACAGACTTGGGAGCCTTATCAGGTAATATATAAAGAATGAGAAATATGCAATACAGAGGGGTGAGAGCTGTCTAACTTTAGAAAAATATTGTATTAAATCCCTTTTCTGACTTTCAGACTTGCTGCATTTAGCCTATAAACAGTTCCCTTGCAGCCTTGAACTAGATGTGCTCCATGCACATTGCTGTTGGGAGTACATTGTTCAGTGGAATAAAGATCCAGAGGTAAGATACTATATGGACATGTGGGCAATTTAGTTAAATAATATAGTCTGATTTGATTTTTTCTGCTTTATTGGCATGGCTACTCTCTAGGATCCATACTAGGCTTTTATCATGCATGATCTCTTTTTTAATTTCTTTTTCACTCATTGATTTGCATACAAAATTTGTATACATTGTTACTAATTCATCTATATTGTGTTTCACAAATTACTTGAGATTGTGTTTCATATGATCATTCTCATACAATCACCACTGATATATGCCCACTATTACCTTGTCTTTTCAGGTCCCCACTGCATCTTTCCTAATTCCATCCTCCCTTCCCTCTACCCGCCAAACTCTGCAACTCTGTGATTTCCCCTCCCCCTCCTGCAGTCTCATCCCCCCTCCTTTCCCCTCTTTGGACGTTTATACCCATCTTACTAGTTAACCTTCTGTTTTTTTACAATAATGGTTTTATGTAGTATTTACCTTAAGAAACTCTGTTAGTTCACTCAGCATGATGCTCTTTAGCCTCTCCCATGTATTGTTTTAAATCATTGCACCTGAGTGCTGCATAGTATTCCATTTTGTTAATGTACCACAATTTCTCAATCCATTCGTTTGTTGATGGACATTTGGGCTGTTTCCATGTCACTGTTACTGTGACCAACGCTGCTGCTGTGAACATCGGTATAAATCTCCATTTGTGTATCAGGTCTGTTTTCCTCAGGATATCTATATCCCTAGCAGTGGAATAGCTGCGTCATATGGGATTTCTACATTTAGGTTTTAAAGGAACCACCAAACTGCCTTCCAGAGTGGCTGTACCATTTTACAATCCTAGTAACAGACTATGAGAGTTCCAATCTCTCCACGTCCTCTAGCATTGCTTGATATCCTGTTAAACTTTGCCACTAGTACTGTGGTGAGACGGTATCTCATTGTGGTTTTTATTTGCATCTTTGGTCCCCTTTGATTTAGAGCCATCCAAATGCCTTCCTGTGAAAAGTTTTTGCAAATCCTTTGCTCATTTTGCTTAACAGTCTTTTCCTTGTGGATACTCTGTAGTATTCTGTAAACTTTTGTTATGAGATCTTTTTCTAAGATATCATTGCCAAATTATTTTTCCCACTCGTGGGTTTTCTTTTCTTCCTATGGGAAAAAGTTTTTTGACGTAAGCTGTAGAGGGTCCTATTCATTATATGAACCTCTCCTCGCTGCATCATACTTGAGCACTTAAAATTCTCACAGTAAACCTGTGAAATATAAAACCCAAACTCATTGCCATTAAGTCACTTCTGACTCATGGTGACCTACCACTTGTTTCTGAAGCTATAAATAAATAAGAGAGGAGACTGTCCATATTTCTTTCACAGAACAACTAATGGATTCAAACCACTGACTTTCCAGTTAGCAGGGCAGCATGTAACACACTATACCATGGCACTATCAGTATACCCACTGTGTTGTGGTTGTTGATTGCTGTCAAGTGAAGCACGACTCACAGTGACACTGTGAATAAAAGACCTAATGCCTTTCTATAACTACCATTGTTTCTCCATGTTTATAGAGTTTCTATAGGCGTGGTTTAGGAAGTGGATGCCACTTCCTGAGTCAATCTGAAGCTCCTCCAGACATTGTCCATGATAAGTAACCATCATGGTATTTGACACAGCTATGGCACATTGGACTGAGGCTCAATGTCAAGAAGACAAAAATTCTCACCACTAGACCAATCGGTAGCATCAGGATGGATGGTGAAGAGATTGAGATTGTTCACAGCTTCAGTTTGCTCGGCTCCACAGTCAACACTCTTGGCACCAGTAGCCAGGAAATCAAAAAACGTATTGCGATGGGAAAGTCTGTGGTTAGGGACCTCTCTAAAGTACTCAGGAGCAACTGTGTCTCTCTGGAGACTAAGGTGCGCTGGATACAGGCCATGGTTTTTGCAATCACTTGTTATGCATCAGAGAGTTGGACAATGACTAGGGAGGACAGAAGGAGAGTTGACGCCTTTGAGCTGTGGTGCTGGAGAAGGGTATTGGATGTACCACGGACTGCCAAGAAAACAAATAGATTCATCCTAGAGAGGCTTAAACCAGGCTGCTCCTTGGAGGCAAGTATTCTGGGGCTCCGCCTGACATACTTTGGACATGTTGTAAGGAGAGACAGGTCTTTAGAGAGGGACATCATGCTGGGCAGAGTGGAGGGACAGCGCAGGAGGGGAAGACCCTCTATGAGGTGGATTGATTCAGTGACTGGGATAATCGGGATGGGTGTGTCAGAGGCAATAGGATTGGCACAGGATAGAGCAGAGTTTAGGGCTGTTTTACATAGGGTCACTATGAGTCGCAAACGACTCGACGGCACATAACAACAACAACATGGCACATTGATTGGCAACTCCAAGTTATTCAGTACAGCAAATAGACAAACAACTGCTATACCACTTAAAGAATGTTCATTCTTATAGTAATATGGAATTTTGAAGACAAATGCTGTTGACTATGCTCCACCTTTAGAGAATAGAAAACTTAGAGGCTCAAAGTTCAGTTATATAATTTAACAATGTAATGCTTAGTGAGTAAGTGGGCCAGGCTGTGAGAGAGGTTTCTCTAGATCTAAAACCAGTGTTCTGTCTTACTCCCTAGTTAGGATGTGATGAAAGGGGGTGTGTGCGTGTGTGTATACGCATTTCTTTTAATTTTTAATTTCCTCATAAAGTGGCAACTGCCTAATAGGAAATTCTTAATAGTCATTGTAGTGTTTGACTTTTGAGTTATGTTTGTATTTGTCACTTCTGCCACTTCTATCTATCAGAAGAACATTCAAGAAAATGAAGGTTTTCGTCACGCAGGTGTAGTCCAGGTTCAGCCTCCCTTCCTTTTCTACTTTATGCATGGGCATCATTTCCTACCCCTTTCTATTAGGACATCACAGGACTGAGCAATATAGGGGAAAGGGCCCAAGTCTAGAAGCAGGAATCATGAATTTGAATCCCACATGACTTGCTCCCAAGTGTGTGATCTGAAGCTATTTAATCTCTGAACCTGTCTTTTCCCCCCTACTACTTTGTATTGAGGGTGCCAGTCCTTCAAAGTGATACTTGTTGTTGTTATGTGCCATCGAGTCGCTTGCTACTCATAGTGACCCTGTGTACAACAGCCCTTAAACCCTGCTCTATCCCGTGCCAGTCACACTGCCTCTGACACACCCTTCCCGATTACTCCAGTCACTGAATATTATTATTATTAATAATAATGGTTGAGTGGGATGCAAAAGTTAGAAACAGAGGAGGAGGATCAGGAGGACAGAAAACATGGACTCAGTGACAGAAATGGAGCTGGAGAGAGAATGATTGAATTTTGTAAAATCAATGATTTATTCATTGCAAATACATTTTATAAGAAACATAAATGCAGGTTATATACATAGATTTCACCTGATGGTATGCATAGGAATCAAATTGATTAAATCTGTGGAAAGAACCACTGGAGAAGCTCAATATTAGCTGTGAAAACTAGGCCAGGAGCTGATTGTGGAACAGACCACCAACTACTTATATACAAGTTCAAGCTGAAGCTATGGAAAATTAAATCCACAGGAACCAAAATACGACTTTTAGTCTATCGGACCTGAATTTCAAAACAATCTCAGGAACAGGTTTGAGGCCTTGAAGACCAGAAGAGTTGTGGGAGGATATCAAGAATATCATCCAGAACTGCACTGCAATCCCAGAGGTGCGTGGTTCAAATCCACCAGATGCTCTGCTGAAGAAGGAGGAACAGTCGCCTCCCGTACCAGTCAGATCCAATTTGACGGTACACACATAAAAAGAATAAAGAAAGGGAGGGAGGGAGGGAG